AAACCTGATTGGGTGCATCCAGATTCCTCTCCCCTCTATTTCGCTGAGCTGTCCTGTCGGAGGGGAGGATGGTGATTTAATTAGTACCTTGATTATGCATTGGATAGGACATCAGGGCTTTCTCACGCTGGCCCCTAGGAACTAGCCAACTTCTTACATATCTAGTCACAAAAGGGAAATCTTCCATCCCCTCTGAAACGTGATCATCTTTCTGCGTGTGTGATCACAAGCTGGTGTGTGTGGGGTGCTCCAGGAGAGAGCAGGTTTAAGGGGAGGGGAGAATTATCTTTCTGTTTATATTTTCATATGCACAGGGGCTCAAAGGAGTGGTAGGTGCTCAACACCTCTGAAATTCAGAGCCCTTTGTCAAAGAGCCACTTGGCCATCTGAAGAGCACCAATGGAAGCAGGAACTGGCCTGCATGCCGGGATAAATGCTGAAAGTCAGAAGAGGTTTAAAAGTAGAACTAAGGGTCTCCTAATCAGAACTCCCTAGAGATCTATTTTTGAAAAACAAACAGAAACCAGGAAAGTCAATAAGCTGAGACGACTATACAGTCACCAAAATGTTCTCATTAGCCAGTAATCGCAGCTAGCTGAGTGGGAAGGATTACAACAGGGCTTGCGGATTTCAGCTATTACTGATTTGCTGTGTAATGGGACTTTGCAAGCTAGAGGGGTTCCAGGGGTCTCCGTCTCCTTCTCAGATGCTGTAGTGGGTCAATGCCAAGAGAGTTGTTTGACATTTGCTGAGCTCCACTTGAGCCTACTCCTTTTTGTTGCTCCATTGGGCAGTTCTCCAGAAAATGGGAGTCTTCATGGAGCGGCTAGAACTCAGGTAGGCAGCGATCTTCTCCAGGGCCTACAGGGAAAGCAAAAGAAGATCCATCAACGTAAAGAGACATCATCAGCTCCTCACATGCCCCCTACCCATCATCACCGCCAGAAATTCAGCATGGGCCACAGCCAAACAGCTGCTTGGGAATCGCTCCCCATTGCAAACCAGAAAGGCACGCAGCCACCTCTTATCAGACATTCCTATGGCCCAGTTCTTCTGGAGGACCTAGAGTCCAATCCAAAGTTTGCTGAAATCAGTGGGAGCCTTGACACAGACTTCAAAAGGCTTTGGATCAGGCCCCAAGGATGTGATTTTTCAAAGCTGCTGACCACTCACCGCACCGCTCGATTTCACTCGGCACTTCGGAAAGCCAGGCCCTTACGTTGCCGAGCTGCTCTAGGTTTAGGAGCAGATAAAGCACTTTCTAAAAGCAGGACGTCCTGTAACTTCTCAAAGCTCCATTTCTCTAAAACAGTTTGTCCGGTTCCAAACTCAGTCTGCTCTTCAAAATCTCCTCTGCCCAAGAACCAAGCTTGAGAAATTCAGGACTGTAATGATGTGCACTTGCAATATATTATTCAGCTACTAGGTGACTATTAGAATTCTTTGAAGGGGTCAACAAACATGTGGACAAGGGGGATCCAGTGGACATAGTGTACTTAGATTTCCGGAAAGCCTTTGACAAGGTCCCTCACCAAAGACTCTTATGTAAATTAAGCTGTCATGGGATAAAAGGGAAAGTCCTTTCATGGATTGAGAACTGGTGAAAAGACAGGGAACAAAGGGTAGGAATTAATGGTAAATTCTCAGAATGGAGAGTGGTAACTAGTGGTGTTCCCCAAGGGTCAGTCCTCGGACCAATCCTATTCAACTTATTCATAAATGATCTGGAGAAAGGGATAAACAGTGAGGTGGCAAAGTTTGCAGATGATACTAAACTGCTCAAGATAGTTAAGTCCAAAGCAGACTGTGAAGAACTTCAAAAAGATCTCACAAAACTAAGTGATTGGGCAACAAAATGGCAAATGAAATTT